CCTCTTGCTCTTCGCTTCGAAAGCTTTCATCTTTTGAGCCCCGGTAGCCGTCAAAATTGGAGCTTTCTTGTTTCTTTTCGACGCTCTCCGTGTTCGAGGAGGAGACGCCGGTTTCGAATATGGATCGCCTCGAGGCGGCACTAGGGGCCAAGCAAAGGGAGTGCTTTGGGGCAGGGAGCATCGAAGAAAGCCCCTTCGAGGGTGCTGAACTCGAAGAATCCTCGATGGGCTTTCTCTCTCCTGCTTCGTCGTCGTCGTCGTCGTCGTCGTTGGGTTTGAGGAGAGAGGGGTTGAGAGGGAGGGTGAATTGGACGACCCTTTTAGGGTTTCTGGGGTTCGAGGGCTCGGATTTTGGGCGGGGGAAGGGAGAGAAGACGTTTGCTTTTTCGCCGTTCGGGCGTTCGTTGGTTCGTACGCGATCATTCTCGGAACGGGGGGAGGGATCGGGGGAGCGGGAGGAGGATCTGGGTGCTGGGATTTAGGTCGGGGCAGCGAAGAGAAGAGAGACGGTGAGGACGAGGCTAGGGTTTTGGGAGGTGGGAGGGCGGAGAAGAGAGAGGGTCTTGGTTTCGGGGGTTGGACGTCGTCGTCGTCAGAAGAAGCGTAGTTCGCCAGCAGAGAATCCATGGAGAAACGGAGGGAGATGAACTGGAGAATTTTTTTTGTTCCTCGCCGGATGAGAGAGAGAGAAAGGTATTGACCTCTCCTTGGGCCAAGCATAAGTTATGGAAATGAGTCCCGTTAAGCCCATCTTCGCTGTACTATTAAAGGCCCATAACTTTGTTATCAGGCTTGCCATGTCCTATCATCAGCTCTTCCTATATATTCAAGCAGAGTTACTACTAGACTAGCACGGGAAAAAAAAAAATTTTTGATGAAGAAAAGAATGGTTTAATCTGTTCTTTAATCATTGACCACATAACTAAGAATCTTTAATATAATGAAAAATAGAAGAAGTATACGCTACTAACATAGTAGCTTGAGTTGCCAGTAGCTGTTGACGAAGTAAATAATAATACGAGAGGGGAAAAAAAAAATTTGTGAGCATTAACGGACCCCATCCACGACACGCAAATTGTAAAGAAAATTTACAGCTTGGAGGCATTCGAGCGTACGTCCGCAAAATTGAAATTTTATACCGCTGCTTCCCTGCACAATGAGATGGGCCTTTAGTGGGCTAAAACTAAAAGAGACGATTTTGCCTGAAAACTGTCACACATAGGACATATGTGGCAGCTTTCCCTTTCAAAATAAACCAACCAAACGTGCGTGCTCAAAAAATTCTAGTGTTTTTTGAGCAATTTAACCAGAGAGTGGAAGACAAGACGTACGTTTGAGGGATATCCATGAGCTTACCATAAAATATTGTATCGTCATTTTCTTTACATGTGATTTTTTTCTCCGCAAATTAAACCCAACTTACTTCTCAAAGTAGAGAAGACAGCGCGGCACATGCTAGAGCAATTTGATTCCAAATATAAGTCTTCTGTATATTTTCGCACCAAAAGTTTTTCAATTTCCAATATCCATTTGGCAACAAGATGAGTTGAGTTAATCGGGATCATTTCACGTATGATCATGTTTTTTTTGTTCAGTTAATGTTTGTCATATGATTTCATTTCATGCGAATTCAAACAGAGGTTCATTATCATCATATTTTTCCTCAATATTTCTCATATATATGATTTCATTTCACGCGACTTGAAACTCTATATATACCTCATGATAAATCAAAGAGCCCCAAAAAAATATATATATATATATATATATAGCTCTTCTACGTAACACTACTACATTATTATTATTGTTTTTTTTGGTGAATTTCCATGAACAAGTGACCATCACTTTCATTTCTCTCATTTCTCAAGCTGAAAATATTAACCAAAATAAACATATCTTACTCCTAAATAAAAAATAAAAAAGCAATTTTTTTATATAAAAAAAAATTACACCCATCTACATGCAAATTAAGACCACCATTTCCTCCCTCAAATTTAGAACAGTTAAACCTAAAGCGGCAGTAAAAACAAATGAATCCCACAC